ATATATTAGTCTATTTGTTTTTGTATTGTGGCTTTTCCAAAAACATTGAGGTGGGACAGTTTTTATTCGATGAAAAACAAAACTCCATGTTTACAACTTTCAAAATAATGTTTTATTATTGTTTACTAAAAACATGTTGTACATTTGTGTAGCAACTAATCAGTACAGAATCATAAATGACATTCCCATTCATCAAGCTAAATAAAAAGTACTGGCAGATTTTATAAGTAGATGTTTACTCAGAGCAACGAAATGAGCTGAAATTTCCATGTTACGAATTTACCCTATGGAAATGTTTTCTGACATTTAAAATTTCATTCCCTAAGTTGAAAAAGGTACAAAACAAAAAAAAAAGAAAAAGAAAATATAATTAAATAAAGTACGATCAAACTGTGGTATATTCAATAGTATTTTGTGCAAACAACATATTGTACTATTATTCAGTCATACCTGCAAGGATAAAAAACTATATATGTGCCTTAACTATGTAAAATTGCTGTTAAAACGGMGCTTTTGAGGTAGATCAATTTCTTCCTCTGAGTGAAATTACTCTCCAGGTAAATGGTCCCCTAACTGTGACCTTAACAAGGCTGTTTAGACAGTGTACTTTTTATTTCAAATTAGTGTGGTAAGAGCAGTCATCTGGGCCTTAATGAATCCTATTTGTTTAGCAAATAAGCCTCAACATTGACTGCGAAGATTYTGGAGCTTTTTCCACAGAGTCAGCATCTCTTTCGGATTCCGCCTGTGAACAAGCAGAATGGAGCTGTACGCACAGGGGTTGTCCGTGTCTGTAACAGGGAGGTCGAATGTTAAAAATCCCGGGTGATGGCTCGGCGTGAGCCCAAGTCTGTGCAGGCACATCCCAAGATACACATCGTCAATCGGGAAGAGACGGACCCTCTCGGAAACCTCTCTTAAACGCAATGCAAGTGAGCCAGAATACACCACCCCTCCTCCACCGGCATAAGGTGGATACGTACCTTTGTAGAAGTTTTCCGGGATGTAATATTTAGCAGATGGCTCACGGTTTGGCATTGCGTTAGTGATCACATCCCCAACAAACAGATCCATGTCTGTTTCATTCGTGTAGGCCCTCCACAGGTTGTGTTCTTCCCTCTTCTTGTGCAGGTAATCTAGAAGGGCGTCTGTTCGGACAAAGACGTCATCGTCACCTTTGAAGATAAAGGCTGGAGTGGGGCAGTACTGCTGGAGCCATCGCCAGAGCAGCAAGTCCTTTAGGGTTAAATTGAAGAACGTGTCTCTGAAATCCCACTGAAGAATGTCTCCGTACTTCTGGTTTTCAAGCTCCAGGAGGTTTTGCAGGTCTGGGTGAGGACCTGTGCTCGAGTCCTGCCTTCCAAGCAGAAAAACTGTGTGCACTAGTCCCCATTTCCTGCTTGATTCCCCCCTTACTAAACCACTGCGACCCCATGTTTCACGAATGGCTTGGCGGTTTTCAAAGTTTCCAACTTGAGATTTGATTGCCATGAGGATCATGGGTGACTCTGTACCATTGTTCTTCCTACACATACCAGGCTGATTGATAAGGAGCGGGTACTCCCTGCAGTGCATTGACCCAACAAAATCTCTGATTTGTTCTGGCAAACTGTTTAGGTCATACATACGAGGGACTGAGCACGTATATGACATGCAGTCGGAACTACACTCGGCCTCAATTTCAGATAAAAGCTTAGGTTTTGGCTTCCTCGTTATCCCAGAAGTGTTTCCTCTCAGTACTGGATTGTACTGACGATCCCAAGCGTGCTGCAACTGGTTCCACAATGCGCTGTCCTCCAAGCGAAGGTTCCAGAATGGGCCTAGTGGGTGAGAGGCTGAAGTAGAGGAGTTTGCAGAAATCCCCGGAGCTACGTAGTGAATAATTATTTTTGGAGGTGCGTAAGAGATGGTCACAAATACGGTCACTGAGATGTAAATAACAAGGTGGCCGGTCATCATGCACGGCAGCAAACACAAGCATAGCAGTCTCCCGTTGCATTTGCAGCATTTTCCCATTTCTGGTTTGTAATGAAGTCGGACAAACCTGCACACAAAAAGTACAAGAGTTAATGTTTTGACCAATATTTCTAGCAGACACACCTTCCTGAACACAAAGCACTGAGGTGACACTATTATGAGATTCTCCAAACATCAGCCAACACTCTGGGGTTTGGCTCCTTGGTGACAATCCAGTGGGGATTATTATCTGTTCTTGCACATTCAGAGCATCAACCTGTAAAGCTGAATGCCGGTTTATGAGTAAAATAAATGGGGAAATGTAATGACAATTGGGTCTTCTCTTTTTTAAAAGGTGAGAATTGTTTATTTTCTGTTATTCGTCTGAATTTATTTTTGGAAAACATACATCTATAATATCTGTGGTCACTTGTTCCTATTTGTGTTTACCAAAACTGTATGAAATTCTGGCAAAGTTTAAAAGATGATATTTACAAAATCACTTACCAGTTGGTGAACGTCTACCGATCAAGCTGAGTAATCAAACACTGGCTTTCACTGTTGTGGTTTCCTTTTATATCCAGGACAGAACATCCTTCAGGTCTGCTCTCATAGTGCATCGCCAGTCGAATCTGAGCAACGAGTCTCAGGTGAAACAACCTGTGCGCACCGAGCATGCGCCCCTCCTCACAGGGTGATCGAGGCGGGCGTGATCATTTCGTTTAATCGTTTACCAGAAACAGATTTTGATTTGCATCCATGAGGCAGGTGAAAATTTGCATGGCACAGCCAAATGATTTGCTGAAATGAACTCAACCACATTGCATGCTTATTGTATTAGCAAAACCATTGTTCAAACATCTACTGTAGGTGGATTCAGGAATATTTGGACATTGGATAAATTGGATCAAAATAAAATGATTTCACTTCTGCCTGAACGATTATAACTAAGGTGCTAATACACTGAGATTTCTAAAATTTAATTAAGTTGACATGAAGTCAGATCAAGAAAAAGAAAAGTGCAAATGACATAAAAACACAGGGACAAGGACAATGGGTAGGTGGATGGAGGGAGGACGGGATGAACAGAGTTATAGAATGATATGGAGAAGGCAGGCAGTAATCTTCAGCTGTATTTTCTCACAACAGCCTGGAATATTTTCAAATACCCTCCAAAGATGGGTAAAAATCAAAACGACAGTAAGTGTTTGAGCAATTGCAGCAAAAAGTAATTATCACATAAAATAAGTCTCGGATTACCAAATTTAACACCTAAACTACAAAAAATAAAAAAAAGTTTTGCAATATTTAAACAAAAAAATAATAAAATAAAATAAATTACCTTTTCCCCTACATAGACACTTTAAGGGATTCAAAAATATAAGGCTGATGAAGTGGATAATTTGATGACAAAATTACGCTCAAAAGATACCACAAAAATGCCCCCATTATGTATTAATGCACATCTATCTATCTACCCATCCATTATCTACCCACCCATCTATTTGCTAATCGGTGGACAGCCAAAGCTTCTAAAAAAACATTACCAAAAAAATGCCTTTGTGCATAACAACAAATGACAGACGGAGCGTTAAACCAATAGAATGCATCGCTGTCTACAGGTTTCATTCATTCAGCCAATAGACATATTTAAAAGGCGGGGCTTTGTGGGACTGGCTTACGTTAATATTTCGCTTGAAGCGATTCAAGTTTGGTTGCACCATGAATGAGGGGCCATCATTCCGGCGACTCGGAGGTGAAAAATGATAGTTTTTAAGTCTGTGTGTGCATTTTAAAATGAACAACCAGGTTTTTATGACAGATACTTAAATGAGCGTTCAACGGTACTTCTTGCTATTAGGTAAGTGCATTTATATATACGAAAACGATTCAATTAATCAGACACAGGACATGCAACAGACCTGTTTATTTGTCTGTGGCACTAAGTTAGCAAGCTTGCTAGCAAATTTTTTTCGTACTCTCTTTTCGGTGGCGAGGTCAAAATGAGATCGGGTCATCTCTCGTTTTAAGACGACGAAACCTGGACATTTTGTTTGTGTCTGCACTAAAGAGACCCGTCACAGTAAAATGGCCTCGCTTTTACGTGAATTAAATCAAAAAAAGTCATCATCCACGGGTTGTTTTGAGTCGCCGCGAGTAGCATTAGCTTATTCTTCCCACCAACGAGTAAGCTGTTCCTTTCGGGAGAGACTTAACCCAAACATGCAGKTTCTCACAGAAAACTAGACGTTGCTTACAAAATAACCATGCTTGTTTTATCTACAAAAYCCCCGATAGCTGTATCAGAATGTCAGGCTGAGGAGTGTTGTAGCCGTATCACGGTTTTTATTTTCCTCTTGGTCCCCTCACTTAACATTGAGACTTTGTTCACTTGAAGACTCCCACGTATGTGCAGCATTTTTCTCCTTCTGGAATCCCCTCACCCAAAAAAAAAAAAAAACCCTCTTAGTTTAGAAAAAACAAATTCATCCCTTCTTGGTTGTGTTTCCAACCTTCAGCTGTAGTAATTATCGCACTTGTGTAAAAGCTTTTTACCTGAAGAGGTCAAGAATGCACTCTTATTTACCCTTAATGATGTTAGAAGCCAAACATTACTTATTGAGGCTGTAGTGAAGTATTTTCTGGAGTGTTTTTACCAGGTGGATCAGAAAGCCATTATTCTGTACTGTAAGTAAGAAGTCCAAGGGTTAAACCAGAGCATTTAATCCCAAGAAATAACTTGGACTTTCAGGGTGACGCAAGCTGAGATCAGTAAGTTTACACAAAGGTTTTTCTCAGTGTCTATCTAAATTACTTTTAGTTGCAATGATCAACATTGTTGCTACACTTTAATGAAAAGCAAATAAGATTGTGTTTTGGCAAGAATGGGTGTAGTTTTTCAGTATTTAAAATTAGTATTTAAGTATTTTCAGTATTTTGGCTGAATTTGTTTCCAGCTAATAATGTGATTTCCTYATCACCCCAGTGCATATTAACATAGATTGTCAATTAAAGTGAGGGGCTGGGAAAGTATGTGGCACACGAGATTGTCCACATCTTTCACTATGTAGAATATGAATCAGGTTTTTCAGTGCCTGTATTTTTCAAAAGTTTACAGTGGTTTTAATTCAAAATGAATGTCTGTGAGGCTAGATGCTTGACTGAATTTGCCACCTTGCAGATTTTGTTAATAGTAAAAATACTGCTTGTCTAGTTTATAGATATTTAAAACAAAAACAAAAAACTTGAAATTGAATTATGTTACGTATATGTTGTTGACTGGACATTAACTTTCTTGTAGGAGATGTAGTTATGACTGAAGCGACGGATATCTTGATCAGTGTGTGTGTGAGGGGGTGCTTACAAAAGATAGCTACTGCTTCAGTCACAGGGCAGAGTTTATGATCTTTCAGCTTCCAGAGTGGTTGTTTCTCAATATGTCCTTAAATCTGTGCTAGAAGTGACAGCTGTGTCTTGTAGCAAAAAATGCAGTATGTGTCGACACAACTGATATCACTTCAGAAGGAAATGTTACGTGGACAGTCCTTTTGTGCTCTTTGAATTTTCCCGTCTTTCATTTTATCTTAAAGTGATATGGATTTTCTCTTATTTTCTAGGTTTCCTCGGATGCATTTTTTTCCCTACRCTATCTGCTCTCGGTTCAAAGATTTACCACGACCACATAAGACCAATGCCTTAGTTGTGACATTATAAGTATACATATTTTCTCTATAACGTTTATTTGAACTTCCTGTAGGAGTGAAAGCTCTCCTCCACCTCTATTACTTTTCCATCGCTCCAAAATTTTCACTTTTACAACCAGTTAAAAGGACCATCAGAACCAAGCCACCATGTCCTCCATCCTTCCCTTCACCCCGCCTGTTGTCAAACGCCTCCTGGGATGGAAGAAGACGCCAGCAGGAAGTGGAGGAGCGGGAGGGGGGATTGGAGGAGTGGGGGAGCAGAATGGAGGAGGACAAGAAGAGAAATGGTGTGAAAAAGCTGTGAAAAGCCTGGTGAAGAAGCTTAAGAAGACAGGCCAGCTGGATGAGCTGGAGAAAGCAATCAGCACACAAAACAGCAACACAAAGTGTGTCACGATACCCAGGTGAGAGCTAGAAACACTTTTTTTGTGGGGTTTCTACATATTTATACAGACACACAGAGAATATGGTAACTGTCACAGTAGGTACATGTCTGAAGAAATACATCTGAGAAGACAAAACATCCTTTTTTAAATCAAATTATTGGCTTGAATGTTCTATTACAAAAACTACAAAGTAGTTTATCGTAATACAAAAGCACTCCACAGTTTGTATGCAGTGGTTTGCCACTGTAGCACCAGTTTTTTGATCAACACAGCGTGGGTATAAAACATACATTGATCTTAAAGATTGCTAGGCATACATGCGGTCACAGGAAATGAAGTTGCTGTTGTGCAACTTCAGGTCCACTTCCCTATAAGGTTGTGCCATGGGTAAGCAAGGCATCCGAAGTGAAACCTGTTTTGAGGAAATGGCTTTACTGCACGTGACAGCTACTAAAATAGTTTTGTGTTTGACTTAATTTAAATTTATTAGGCAATATTCAGGCAACTATCTCTTTTTTACTGTATTTAGCCTAACTCTGTTGCTGGGTTGTGTCAGTAAGGGGTCAACTTCATCATTAAATTCCATTCTTAACAAAAGTGTTATCAGGTCTGTTTGTAGAGGTGATTTTTTTTGACCCGTTAGGATCTGAAATTAAATGACCACGTTACGAACAAAAACTGAAAATAAAACCATTGCTTAAATGTTCTTTCGATGACACTATCATTCAGATTTTCTAGTAAAACGCTGAATGGATATCGGGTTACATAATAACTGATATCTCACATTTGACTGTCACGACAACAGCATTAGTCATTACTTCACATTGGGTGCTGCAGTTAGCAAAGTACRCCGTGTCTGCACCAGTTCTAAAAAATCACAACCAAAAACCCTTCTTTTCTGAAGTAGAATCAGAGAATCTGGAAAGCTTGTTGATTGTGCGTTTTTGAAAGTAAAATATTTATTTAAATAAGACATTCTGCACAAATGTTGAAAGTTAATGGTCAACGTGACCCAACAGAAGTGACTGTGTTCCCCATAATCTTGAGCTCGGATAAACATTAACATAATTGTAATGTTACCTTATATTTTAGGATGATGGATGCCGTATTTTTTTCAGTTTGCTTTGTATATCTAAGTTGCCAAAAATATATATAATTTACTATACTTTATCTACATATCTGGGCTTACCCTCAGAAACAGAACAATGTGACTCCACATTGCAACAGATCTTTATCTTATCAACAGGAAATTGTCATTTTACAGACACAAGAATATGGATAGTTTGTGTAAATTGTTGTCTTCTGAAAGAATGTGTGTAGCAAGTCTTAGATTAAAATTAAGGCAAACGATTACTTGTTTTTCCAGTATAATTTTATTTGTTATGCTCCATTGTGTTGTAGGTATGCAAGTCAAAACTTTATTTTGATTAAAAAAGGAAGGAAAAAAACAAACAAACAAGCAAAAAAAATAGTTTCTTAAATATGTTAAGAATGTTTTATGTTAGGAATGTCTAAAAATATTTATTTCTTACTGCATATACATACTTGCTTAAAGTGTGTTCAGTTGCAAATGCTGTTTTTAACAACTCATTGCCTCTTCTTCAAATGCATTTTTAAATAGATGAAAAATATTTTTACCATCATAATTGGGTAAATCTTTTGTCTCAGATTAAAGAATTCATTTCACAACAGTGTGTTGACCTAATTTTTTCTTTTAGATGAACCTGATAAGCTGCTTTTTAGGTGAAATGACCAAAAAAAAAAGGTGCCAGGAACATAAGTGGTAATGATGTCCTGTTTGTGTTATGTAGTAGGATGGCCTCAGATAATAATTTTAGCACTATTTGGCATTCATAACTGAAATACATTTTAGTATTTATAGAAGTTACTTTGGATTATTTCCAAAATGTTACCTGTCGTCTGGAAAAGTAAAATGTAATGCTTATTTTATTTGCATTTGTTTATTTCAAATAATTGCTTATACTTGAGTTTTTAGTATGTTAATAAACTAAATCATGGTGTTGCTGATTATGTAATTATTAGTCAAATAAACAAATGCATGTCAACACAGAGACAAAGATGTTTCTTCCTGGTAACTTGGAAGGATATTCATTGTTGCATCGTATCCGTAACTTCTTAAAATGCTTTTAAGAAGTTGAGTATTATTAACAATAATCAAAAGCTATAGAGATGGAAAAGTTTAACAGAGCAAAAGGTGAACTATGTGGTGCCAGACCTTTTTTGTTTACTTAATCCATGAAATCGTAGGTTCAATATGTTATATTTTACCTGAGAAGACTCTGTTCTTCTTATAGGTTATTTACTTCAATGCAACCTCTTTTACATCAGAATGTTGTGAAAAAATTAAGGATACTTTTTGTTTGATTTCAGGACAAGTAACTACTTGTTTTCTCCTTAGTTTATAGTCAGTCGTGTGTCTTTTGTTTTGAGTTTGTTCATATGTTTTTTRCTGTGAAGAGGGCATTCATGTTTGTAGATTGATAATTACTCAGTAAAAATCACCCCCATGTAAAGTTAACCTTGCCACGGAGAGCAGGATGTAGTTGTTAAAAGAACACAGCAGTTTTCAGCAGATGGCAATCCAGGCTTTTGATGTATAGCTCACTTCCCTTTGAACGCAAGGAAGTTTGAGTGATAAACACTATGATAGATTGCAGTGGTTGTAGCTGTTGTTTTTGGTGGGTGGAAGTTGGGTGGAGAGTGTCAAAGGGTATCTGAGGAACTGTGAGATGATAGCAAGTGTGTAGCTTTGTAGATTTCTGTTTGAGTGAAGGTAGGAAATAACAGCTYGACTGTGTAGGGCTTTTGCAGACTTGGGTAGTGTTTTCAGAGGTGACGAACATCTTGATGGCTTCTAGACAAGAAAATATTTTTCAATTTTGTATTTTGTAAAAAACAATCATTTTGTTACTGTTCTACCTTCCTAGATTTCATCATAGTTGATTTACAGGGTTGAAGATGAATATTTCAGAGTCAAGCACAGATTGGGAGATTTTGACAGACTGGTGATTCTATTCTTGATCTTTCAACTGAGAAAGGCACTGGGTAAAAGATTATCTGTGTTTAATGATACAATGCTTGGCAGTTGTAGCTGCAGAGCTCTATGTTTAGGCTGATACGTGTCAAGGTATGAGGTCTTGCACAGGCAGGCATGRCAGTTACTTAAATCAAACAACAGAATCTCCTTTTTTTGTTTGCTCTATCACACTGAAAAAATGTAGATGTTGGCAGCATTTAGATGTTTTTTTTTTTCACGTCTTTATGTCTTCATTGGTCCATCATAGTGTTTGTGCTCTGTGGCTGCCTTCACATAACACTTATTTGTCCTAAAATACCCACTGATGAGTTATCTGTTTTAATGTGTAAGGAATGCATGCAGTCAAGTATTACAGGGTAGTCTTTAAAAAAAATGTTTTTTTAAGTACCAAAACTAMATTTAAAGTGCTTCATTGGCCATAGTAACAATACTACAAAACCACTCCTGAATATTTGATTTACTTTAAAGTTTTAATTTGTGTTTTACTTGGCCTCACTTTATATTTAATCTCAGAATCTAAATTTATTTCGGTACAGTGTCATTTGTTTTCATTACAAGATGACTGACGTTTGATGTCTAGTTTCTCTTCACCCGATTGCACCACATCACTGTCTGTCTTATTTGAATTTGTCACATTATCATGCATCACATGCATCATTTATTGATGGCGTTGGAATATGTTTCTGCTTTTCACGTCATTGGTAAACCAAGTGTACACATCTGTGATTTCATCTCAAGTTGAAACACCTTCTGTTTTACCATCTGTTTGCTTTTATTTTGATCATTTTTTTGCACTTGTCTTGTATGTGTGTGTGTGTTTTTGTGTGTTGTCTGTAGCAATTGCTCAGAACTTTGGGGTCTTGGCTCAGGCCACACGATAGAGCAGTGGGACTCTGCAGGCATGTACGGATACCCTGACCACAGCAGGTGAATACATTCATATGTATTATCTCTGTACATCTATTCATCCCTGCAAAATGTCTTCAGCAGAAAGTAACTGTGACATTTTGTTTTTATGGTTGTCACTTTGCAATCTGCAGTATCAGTGTCCACAGGTGTCTTGTCCTTTTTTCTTCATTAAGTTCATCAATAGATTTCAAAGTTGTCATTAAGTCATCACTTGTATGTTATCATTGCCATCTCTCTAATACTAAATTCTGTAAAGGCAGTATAAAAATATAGAGCTGTACCTAAACAAATGCTATCAAATCAGATTCACCTTTTRGTTATTGATCAAAGTCACTCCAAGTTTCCTCCCTAGACTTGGGCACGTGTGAGGTATCTGCCATCCTGTCTTCTCACTGTTTCAGGTCACTCGATGGGCGTCTTCAGGTGTCTCATCGTAAGGGTTTGCCCCATGTCATCTACTGTCGGTTGTGGCGATGGCCGGATCTTCACAGCCACCATGAGCTGAGGGCCATTGACACCTGTCAATATGCATTCAACCTCAAAAAGGATGAAGTGTGTGTCAATCCCTACCATTACCAGAGAGTAGAGACACCTGGTAATGATTTTTAATAAATATGTTTCTTATAAACCTTTTTTTGTGTGTACAGATGAGCTTGGTCCTCAGGATATCCTTTTTATAGCTTCAGTAACACAGTTAAAAAAAGTTTTAATTACAAGTTATAGGACTTGTCCAGTTTTAGCAGGAAATTAGCGTTGATGTGTTAGTTCATGCAGTCATATGTTTATTAGAGAGGCATGTTTGTTGCACACAATTGATGGAGTGCTGTGCTTTTTCTGTGATTACACAAATTTGATTGTTATGACAACTCTTATTTATTTTTGTTGACTATATTACTTTTCCATTTAGTACTGCCTCCGGTGTTGGTGCCGCGCCACCCAGAGATTCTGACAGAGCTTCCTCCTCTAGATGACCTTATAAACTCCATTCCTGAAAACACCAACTTTCCTGCAGGCATAGATCCTCCTAATAACTACATACCAGGTTTGTATACATGGCAGGAGGTTTTACTCCTTAGCTCTTTATTTGCTTACAATATCAGCTATCTCTTAACCTAATGTTCCAGTGTTTTGCAACTTAGATTGACTTGTCGCTTTTAAAGAGAGTTTCCACAGCATTTTAATATGTATATATGATGTACTTATTAGAACACACAAATACCTTAGTACAATTCTTTCTTATGTTTAGACAGTGTTGCATTTTAAATATTTCTTTATTTTTTATTTCCTGTTCACAGACACTCCTCCACCTGGCTACATGAGTGAGGATGGAGAGACCAACGACCAGCAAATGAATCAAAGTATGGAATCAGGTAGATTAGTTCAGTGCTATGTGTTTAGAGATGGTGTGTAAAGTGGCGTGCTTCAAGGATCTTAGAACTAGTTTTGGAACCCTAACTTGAATATTTCAAGTTTTCATTTTATTTATGTAAGTACACACACACATACACGGGTTTGTTTTATTATATCCCCGTGTGGACCATGGATTGACTTCCATTCATTTTCTGGTAATTTTATAGCCTAGGCCTGACCATTTACCCTAAAATTAACCTCACAGGTACCTACCAGACCCTAAAAGTAACCTAAACTCAATCCGTACCTTGGTCCTAAACCCGAAATTAGCATCCGTACGTACCCAAGGGGATCAGACATTGGTCCCCACGATGCACATTCGGTCCCCACAAGCCTGCCTATTTCTGGATAATGGTTCCCACGATATAGCAAAAACGTTCACTCACACACACTACCCTAGCTAATAATAATAAAAAAATGTCCTCCTCCTAATATTTTATTTTTGTTTWAAGACCCTTATAGATTTGCAATACCTTACATCAATAGAGTAAGCACAATTGTTGTTAAACAGTTGAGGCCCAAATCCTTGCTAGAGCCCCCTCCAGCTCTAAAATGTTAAAATTGTAAACAATATGGGGTAAATTTTCTGTTAATGATACCAGGGCTTAATGTAAGAATATCCCACACTGATAGCCGAGACCCACATCATTAAATAAAAACTGTTTCCAAGCATTTGTACTACACTTAAATTACACTTTTACAACCACAAATTTGTTTTAAAAATCCCTTTTGAAATAAAATTACTGTGGTGCTGCTCCCCGCTATATTTACATATAATCTCTGAAATATAAATATTTAGCTTTACATCTATTTTTTTCTATTAGGCTCACCAGCAGAAATGTCTCCCAGCAACCTGTCACCTGTCAGTCATGGCCTGGGTAAGTTTATGTGCTGTTTTTTGTTAGTTTTATGAAATTGCTTTACAAGTCTGAAATAATGAATTTTTATTTTTATCCGTACTGAGATAATGTGTATCACAAGGCCATTTATATATGTTCAGACAGGAAAATGTATTTAACTAGGACAAATAAGATAAGATAAGATAA